GTAATCCCTCGTAATCTTGTGTAATCCCGCGTAATCCCTCGTAATATCGCGTAATCCCATCTAATCATGCAGTAAATCAGTGCAATCGCACGTAAAAATGAGTGTAGTCGCACGCGGTCAGCGACCACATCGCCTTGCAGATCGGCAACCCATTTTAGACACACATAAGTAGGCAACACGTCGGCACGCCCTGCGGGTGCCGTCCTTCTACTCATCACGAGCGTCTGACCTGAACCCCCCCCCCACATTGCTCGCCTCCGCCTCGTTTACCACCATCGGATCGGATAGCGGCCACTTTGATTTTGGTAAGAGTCTTCAATTTAGTTTAATTCGCTTGTTTTGTTGAAAAATGTAGATGATGTCGACGAACCTCTAAGCATTTGAATTTGATCTGCTTAGCCTGTCAGTTAATTTGACATCGGGCTGGAGACAAACGGAACGGACGATCGGAGGCCATCAACCACTTGCTCAGTCGGTTGTGTTATTAGCAGATAATACATTTGTAACTAAAACTTTGAACATTTCACATAACTGAAATTAATAAGAATGATTTGTCAAATGTGTCATTGCTTGTACTCTCATGTAGTGCAGAGAGGCACAAGGCGTGACGTCACCAAAAGAATACAGGGCGGCTCGGTGTTGGTCCCGTCCGCGCGCCACAGCTACGCAGCCACCCTCCCTCCGTCAGACTTGGCTCGGCGCTCGGCTGTACTCGGCTGGAAGCGCAGGTCGGAGCTCGGCTCGGGACGGCTCGGCTCGGCCGAGAGAGGCGCGCGCGGCGCGGTAATTCAAACTCTAACCCAACTATGAAATGACAGAACTGAATGAGTTCAGAAATATTACATGCAAACTATGTTTTTATGGAGAAGCATCACTCACAAACTGTCTCTACATCCTCTTCACACTAACTTTGTCCTAGACCCTTCAAAACATTACAAAGTATAGGAGAAACAGAACCCAACCCAAATCTTTTTTAACTATAAATTATATTTAAATGTAAATTAAGATTTGTAAATTATCTATACGCTTGTACTTGTGCAAGTAATGCGACCCGTGAGCTCCCCACTGAAATATTATAGACTTGAATACTTTTCTTGAATTTGTATCATCTGCTTTCACGATCCGTTCCTGGACGGAACTTTTTTTAAAAGAAGTGTAGTTTTCACTTTGGAACAGTTTTGTTTTTTGGAGTGATAACGTGTTTCGTTATCGATAGTGCTGTCATTATGACTTTTAGTGCCTCAAGCACGCATACGTCTACTGACACTCTTCTGAAAGTTTTACGTAACCATAAACACACATGGAATTGAGATTGTTTTCGGTTACCAGAAATTACTACTATGTCTTCGAAAAATTGACTTATTGTAACAAAACCAAAAGTGAAAACCTGTTACAGTTTACTCCGGCATCGCACTTGATAGAACCAATCCTTTTAAAACACAGAAAACTCTTTTTGATAAAGTAACCATCCCTTATCACTGTTAAAAAAAATCCTGGGATTTCACGGAGGAACAGTCGTGAAAAGTATTGCCAAAGTCCTTTGGGATTTCCCAAAGAACTTTGTAGATTTCACGTGGCGAGTTGAGCTTCGTAACATGTAGACGAATGAAAACTTTTACCTTTTTAAATCTGTTTTAGTACACAAAAAACTAAGAACGGAGTCCTCTGGGAATTTCTTATAGTGGTAGAAAGTGAATCTTCGGGAATTCCCAAGAAATTTTTAACAGTGATCCTTAGTATTTAGAACTAGAAGTTACAAAAATCTGCCTGTGCCACATAACGCTGTGGAGTGAAAGAGCGGATCGCTTGGGTCGGTATTCACTGTGTAAGGGGATTCAACGCAGTGAAGCCCATACATCTGCTTTTTAATCTTGAAAGCCAGGGCCTGGGTGAGGTCGACTTCTCTTGTTTCTATTTATTCAGTAAATAAACTCCCAACACTAAAGTTTGCCAAATAATTTGCAAAAGTTTAACAACTTAAAATATGAAAGAGAAATAAAGAGATGTTAATCATTCAAATAGTCGAAATGTGGGTAAGCCCCAACCCAATTAAAAACGCTGAAAGTGAGATGACATCCTCTGTTTGGACCCGGAGTGGAGGGGGGAGGGGAAGCTGAATCGCCTAATTGCCACAAAATAAAAGACAAACAAAGTGTAACAAATACCAGCACAAATTTCGCAAATTGACCCTTATTAATTACATTTTTCACCTTTCATATGAATATTAAGTTTTGTCCCCTAAGTCCAAACTGCGCATTCGAGCGCAGCTTTAAGTGTGAACTTTACCTAGTTTCGTAATTCAATCTTGATTTTGGCATCGTCTGATCGCAAACAACCCACTCACAGCGACCGTACAGATCTCTCACCTCTCACATGGCTACGACACGAACACGACCAGCCGAGGCCGAGGCCGAGAGTCGAGGCGACAAAACGAGTGGTCCCGATTCCAGATTCCCGATCCGGGTGAGGTGAGGAAGGGGAGTGGTGGGGGGAGGGGTGACGAGTAGAAGGGACGAGGGGCCAGGGATCGGCAAGCCTCACACGCCAACGTCAGTGTGGTTGCCTTCGCCCAGGGCGTTGATCTGGAGCAGCGCGTATGATTGCAGACGCGTAATCATCCGCAATCTCGCGTAATCCAACATAATCCCATGTAATCCTGCGTAATCCTGCGTAATCCCATATAATCTCGCGTAATCCCATGTAATCTTGCGTAATCTCGTGTAATCCTGCGTAATCTCGTGTAATCCTCCGCAATCATACGTAATCTTTAGTAATCCCTTGTAGTCCCGCGTAGTCCCACGTAGTCCACCGTAGTCCACCGTAATCCCGCAATCGTGTGTACGCTAAAAAATGGAGTGGTGGCCCCCTCGCTTGAAGCCCACGTCAGGACCCACACCGGCGAGAAACCGTACAAGTGTGACTCGTGTAACAAACGGTTTAGACAGAAAAGTATCCTTAATTCACATCTCACGACCCACGCTGGCGAGAATTGATATAATTGTGGCATTCTTAAAAAGAGTTGGGACCAGAGCATTGCAAAATCCCCGTATCTGACCGACCGAGCTGACCGACGCGCGGCCAGAGCTGGACCTACGCTGACCGAGGTGCGGAGAGGAGGCGGGGAGGAATCGCCCCTCCTCACCTCTCACCTGCAAGCGGCTCGTCAGCGGCCAGCTCTGACCGCACCTCGGTCAGCGTAGGTCCAGCTCTGGCCGCGCGTCGGTCAGCTCGGTCGGTCAGATACGACGATTTTGCAATGCTCTGGTTGGGACCGTGATTACCATGTCTAGATCCACCACATTAACGAGCCATATCTGGCATTTGTACGGAGTGCTTCCAACACGGGTTTCTCATCTTCGTCAGCACGAGGAGACACACCGTCCACTGTTGACTCTTGAGTGTTTCATTGCTTCCGAAAGCTCCTCAACTATATTTGTAGTGGTTTCTCCGGTAATCATTACTTTAACTTTCGTTGAATGGTCACGTAAGGCTCATCCGTTATATCTTGTATGTAATGTTTTTGCTAGTTCCTACAAAATGTTTGTTTGTCTTTGTCAACAGATAAAATTGCTACTTTTTCGGAATGAAAATTTTTTTTTGTCAACCTCTTAATGGCTTTGTTTCACATGTATTATTCATCGAGGCCCAGTCGCTCCGCGTGCAAGTGGTTAAGGGCAGCACCGTCTGCACATCGTATGACTCAGTGGCCTTCGGATGGGGTCGCGGGTTGCTACGTGTCCGGGTCCAACGCCGTGTGGTGTATCTGGGCTTCTGGACTTTAGACCATTGTAGTTGTTATGTTTCCAGAAGTATTGTTCATTATTATGCACAAACTTGATCTCATTTTACAAAATTTGTATTTATCGTTAAAATTAAACTGAAATTGAGACCTACACTTTATTGATTATTCCTCGAGCCGAACGCGTGCATGCTGTTGGTAGCTACGCGTTTTAGCCAGAAATGTAACCTTGTTGCTAACGTCAGGACCCACACTAAGAAGAAACCATTTAAATGCAATAATTACGAGAAGAGTTTTAGCCAGAAACATCGCCTGAAGTCTACACCAGGGCCCACACTGGCGAAAAACAATGACTGTGCTGTTTGTGAGAAGCGGTTTACCCATAAAACCATCATTGATTACCACATGAGGACCCACACCGGCGAGAAACCATACAAATGCGACAAATGCAGCAAAACGTTTATACAGAAAGGTCACCTTCAGTGCGACGCCAGGATCCATACTGGCGAGAAACCATGTAAATGTGAGTTTTGTGAGACACAGTTTACCCATAAAAACGACATTTATTACCATATGAGGACCCACACCGGCGAGAAACCATACATTATACATAAAATTGTACTTTGTTACTTTCAATCAAGGATTCTATTGTGGTCCGGCTGACTTTGGGTGAATTCTCTCCGGAGAGGTTCCGGTGAAGTACAGAGAGTGGGGGTAGAATTCAGGGCAGAATAGTCAGAGATTTACGCATTCATTTTCGATTTTAAAGAGACTTTTAGCCGTTTTACAGCGAAACACTATAATACGGTTCACGTTCAAGAGCGTATACTCTGATTAAAACTTATTTAAACCGAAACCTAACTTAATCTGGGTTCACGAACTCTACTCGAACCTCTCCGGAGAGAGTCGACCCGAAGTCACCCGGAGCACCAGAATCCTAAACTGAATATAACATGCATCTAACATTAAAACAATAAAATTGAAACCGTGACCTACACTTAATTCTGCTTTGAAGCGGAACAAGGGGCCAGGGACTAGTAACTTACCGCTTTGCAGTTACGTTACAAAATACGTACATAGTGTACCGATCAGTTTCGTTCTCTTATCAAATGACGGTAACAGAACTGGTCCATTATCAGTTCGGTTACAATTTGTAACAGTTCGGACCGGTTCAAAAAAAATAAAAATGGTATATGGGGATATAGTAAAAGCCACTCTGTTAAAATTTGTAATGTTACAGGTCTGAAACTGTCCCCGAAAAGACATAAGTAACGTTACGAATAACACAACAATAACGGCCGCAAAAGTTACGTTACAAAACTTTTTCCCCCGACGCATGTGCCACTGCCACGCCACCGCGGGCGTCTTGGGCCTCGCTGGCTCGATCTCCACCTACCACCGCCTCGACCCGGAGCCACACGGAGTGATAGGAACGAATCCATGCCTTCTCCTTCCTCCGCCCGCATCCAGGGCAAATTCAGTCAAGACCGGAGCTCAAACAAAGAAACTTAAAAGCATTTCCCCTGCCCGGTGTTGAACCCCCGACTGGGAAGTGACTGCCCGATACGCTCTCCACTCAGCCAGAGCGGGTCGCTGAAAGCAGCGGGCAGCGCACCGCTCTGGTTCGCTCGCCAGTCGCCGCTGGCCACCGCTTGCCGGAAGGAATTCGCGAGTGAACGAGAGCGGTGCGCTGCCCGTCGCCACCAGCGATGCGCTCTAGTCCACCGAGAGCGTCCGGGTCAGCCATCCTCAAAGTCGTCGAGAGTTCGACACCGGGCATACGATATGCTTTTAAGTTTTTTTTCTTTGAGATGCTCCGGTCTTGACTGAATTTGCCCCGAATGCGGGCGGAGGATGGCATGGAGTTGTTCATATCACTATGGATTAGACCACGGGATTCTCTGCGCAGCCAGCCACAATCCAGGCGAAGTCCATGGTGCATTCAGCCGTTTCTCTCGAGAGGTTGTAGGCAGAGCTCTTCAAAATCGCCTCGTCGACCGCCCGAGCTCAACCCGACCGGCCCGACCGGCAGGCGGTCGGCACCGACCGCGTGCCGGTGAGATAAGAGGTGAGGAGAGGACCACCCAATCTGTCTCCCCTCTTCACCTCTCGCCTGCACGCGGTCGGTGCCGATCACCTCCCGGTCGAGCTCGGTCGGTCGACGAGGCGACTTTTGCCGAGCTCTGGGCGTAGGTGTAGCTCCGGGTCGCGGCGGTGGTGGTAGACATCGAGCCCGAGGCCCGAGACGCCTGCGTAGACGTGGACGTGACACCTGTAACCTTGTCCGACTGGGAAATTTTTGTAACGTAAATTTTGCGGCCGTTATTGTTCCGTTAATCGTACCGGTACATCTGTTTTTTTTTTCTGGGACAGTTCAGATCTGTAACGTTACAGAACGTACCTCTAGAATGTAACGTAACTACCTGCATCGGTTTTGTGTAACGTTACATTTGTAACGAACATAACTCAGACGCACGGTCTGGACCGTATTTTGTAACGTTACAATAAATGGAACTGTACAAAATGTAACTTTATTCGGTTACTGTTACGTATCATGGAACTCACATATGCTCAATTAAGATATTGGTGCGGTAACGTAAAGGAAAAGTCCGAGGAAATGACGTTTAATTTGTTATGTTACTGGTCTCTGCAAGGGGCTAACTTGACTTAGCACCAAATTGAGATTTTGATGGCAGTTTAGATTAGATTATAATTCACACCCTGTCCACCAAGCGATGTTTTGCTAAGTACCATAGATTTTTGTATATAGGGGTTTGTAAAAGGGGCTAACTCGTCTTGACTTGTTTTGTACGATAGTTACGATAGTTGTCACATACCAGAAGACTACCAAAGGTGCTAAGTTGACTTGACCCCAAAGTCATCAGGTTTTCTCAAGAAGCAAAAGGAGTTAAGTTGACTTCGCTCCTTTTGATATCATATTTTGATTGTGACATGTTGACTTTGCCCCTTTTGCACTAATAAAATAAACAAAAAACTAATGCCAATAAAAGCATAATTTTTACTGTCAGGTGTCCAGCATCAAGTTTTAAGGTATAGCTATTCTACCTGGTATTAATAGGTGATGAATACAAACCAGATTGTATGTTGTTCCCTGTGTAGTGATATATTGTACTACTTCACGCATTGTGGTAATACCAGGAATAAAAGGAAAACTCCCTGCTGATTTAATTTCACACTCTGTTGACAAACTTTGCGCATGTCAGTACACTGTTAAAAATTTCTTGGGATTTCCCGAAGATTCACTTTTCACCACTATTAGAAATTCCCAGAGGACTCCGTTCTTAGTTTTTGTGTTACAAAACAGATGTTAAATGTGGAAGTTTTTATTTGTCTATATGTTTCAAAGCTAAACTCGACACGTGAAATCTACAGAGTTCTTTTGGGAAATCCCAAAGGACTTTGGCAATACTTTTCACGAGTGCTCCTCCGTGAAATCCCAGGATTTTTTCTAACAGTGTATTACCAGATCAGACTGTTGTTGACTTGCGCATGATTTTAGTGTAAATTGCTTCTTTTTTGTTTTAAGCTCCATGAAAATTTCTTTAAGAGAAAAGTTGACTTGGCTCCTTTTTCCATAATGACAAATGGAGTGAAGTTGACTTGCCACTTTTTGCGATTCCCCCCCC